CGCTCTGGGTGAATAAAGATCTTCAAACAGATGACAACAAGGAAAAGAAAAAGTGGGCTGTAATTACCTAAAAAGGCTCCAAGAGAAGCAAATAAGTGTAAGGAGAGTTTCTATCATATGTTAGACATATATTGTGAGAATGTTCTGGGTGGAATTTGGTACATCCATTTGGAATCAGTGTCTCTCTCAAGTATTATACACTAGTGACTTAGAGATCTCACCAAAACTAGAATTGTTGTTGGGCCATTTACTTCATTTACCACTAAAGTACCAGCTTGCTGAAATGTAAATGGGTTTGGACATGATTCTGATCATATGAAATAAAATTTCAGCTACACATGGACCTATATACAAGTTTTATAAATATCCTGGTGGCAGATATCTTGTTACTTTTTTACAGTATTCGCTGATGGATTTGTTATCCAAAATGGTCGTCGGCCAGCCTCATTTTGTCAGGTGCATCAAGCCAAACAACGACCGGCAGGCAAACAAGTTTGATAAAGAAAAAGTTTTGGTTCAACTGCGTTACACGGGAATTCTGGAGACAGCGAGAATTCGAAGACAGGGTTATTCACACCGTATACTGTTCGCCAACTTCATAAAACGGTAACATTTGTGTGAAGAAGACTTTTTGTCTCCTGTCATTGCTGCCCAGTGTTTGCTAAGCATCAGCAGCGTCTTTGGCATGGTCTTTAAAGAAAGAATACAAAGACATTTCCTGTGACAAAGATTAGAGACTGGATGACAGAGAGTAGTTCAGGCACAAGATTAGTGACCTGTATTGGACTGGAAGGGGAAGATGATGCATCTCAGGATGATTGTTTCAGGTTCCCTATGCATTTGGGTAAAAATTGTCTTGCTTATAATCTGCAAGTTTTCTTCAAAGACTTGAGTTTTAGAAATGTAATGCTTCAAATTAAAGCTGAGAATTTGAAGCAACAGAATCCAAGGAGTACCACAGTTTCTTTAGCTCCTGACGTTCAGCGCTGTGCAGCATCTGCTTGTACAGGGTAGATGATAATTTGGTATTGCTAATCTAGGGCCGAGGAGTTCATTCATTGCATAGTTTTGTTTAAAATACAATTTTTAAGTATTAGTCACTTGTTAAGAAGAAGAGTAATGAACTCACTATGATTTTATAATTCCTTTAACTATCTCGTCTTCCTCCGCCCCAAAAAATTAATCCCGAGCACTTAATCTGTACTTCTCTCTTACAAATAAAGACTCTGAGTATTTGCCTCAATCAGAAGTGAGATTTGTGGAACAGAGATAACAACTGGGAAGAAGGAAGCAACACGCATTCAGACAGAAGCACTTAAAAGTAATAGTGCACCAGAAACAGAGAGCTAGCAGCAGAGTGCTGCAGGTGCATGAGGAGAGAGAAGAAGGACAAAGTGATATTTTTATAGCACTGCTTCTGGAAAGACTAGTCCTGGGACTATTACTGGTTTTGGAAGGGTACAGCATGAGAAGAGGTAGTTACCAGTGCACCAAGATGTGCTGTGGCTTTTGGTCACTGCTTTTTATAAAAAAATGTTACTGTTCAGGTAAAAGGAAGAAAGCAGTGAACATAATGGGGTAGCTCGCCAGAGAGTGTGGCCCTGATTGCAGAGAGGCTGTGCAGATCTCCAGCACTGAGGATATGGCCCTCAGACAAAAAGGGATTTTTGTTAAGTATCTATCTCCTTGTCTTTTTTTTTTTTTTCCAGTAGTTGAGATTATGGGTAGACTGGGATAATGGCAAAATTATTTTGTCAGAATAAAAATAAGCCAATTCATTGTGTAGTAAAAAAAAAAGAAAAGGAGCTGGAGGAATTGGTGATAATGCAGTTATCAACATTGTCTCTTTTTTATTATTCCATGAGGAAATGGTTACCGTTATTTAAAGTTGGTACAACCCAAGCTTTGTGTATAAAGACTGAATAACAAGAAAAAAGCAGAATGTACTGTCAGGAAACAAATATAATGCATGTAATTTTCCTGAATTAAAAAAAAAAAACAAAAAAACAAAAAAAACAAGATAGATATGGTTCATTTTGTTATGGAGCATTTTGTAAAGTCCTGGAACACACAAGAACCTTCCTATGCAGCAGCTGAGCTGGTATGTTATGGGTAATTTTTATGTGTGAGCATCATGACCTCTTTTCCTAGTCAGAATTAATTCTGAGTAATGTGTTTGCCAGATTAAATGCTTACATATGATATGTCATAACAGCATCTATATGTTCCAAAGGACCTGCAAAGCTGGATCCAAGCAGGTAACAAGAGCTGGGATGCATCTCACATTATGTTAACTGTCTCAAAGGTAGATGGTCTAGCACTTAAGATAAGTTATGAAATTTTCATGACATTTCTATATATGAAATAAGATAATTTAGGCAGAAAAGCTTTAAAAATATTTTTGTTTTGCCACTGAAATCACTTTTATAGAATGCAGAGAGCCAGGGCAACAAAGAACTGGTGCACAACTCTACTCGGGTTGCACATTTTTTGAAAGTCTTCTGGTGTTGGTAATAGAATCAAACAACACTCCAAGGTGTGCAATATGTTACTCATCCAGTTTTGATTGAGTTTCTCAGTACTGCATATAAATCACAGCAATTTCTTTCATATGCTTTTTTGTTTTTTTCAGTGCTATGTTTTCTTTCATGCAACTGTTTTTATTATTTCAATGAATGGTTTATATGTATTTGCATCTATAGCTTGTTATTAATGGAATAAAGAATCTTATATTTGTCTTTAGGTATTACCTCATCTGTTACAAAACAAATGATGATCCTCCAGTCAGTCCCGAAACCTGTGCTGCCATCTTGGAAAAAGCCCACCTTGACAACTGGGTTCTTGGGAAAACAAAAGTAATTTTTTAGTATACTGTATCTGCATTATTACAGTATGCCATTGTTAACTTACTAAGCAATTTGTTTTCTCACCTGTTTGGTTGGGGTAGCTCTTGGTCTCTGTTGGTTTAAAAAAAACCCACCCTTTGCTGGGTACTGTTCCCTGATATCTGGCTGAAATCCTGACCCTGTAAAGTGTTAAAATTCTGGTCAGCTTTAGTGAGGCCACAGTGCAAAGCAGTACATGACAACAACACTGCTTGATTTTCTTTCAAAAAATGTGGTGGTAAGGATCCCAGTAAGCTTAGTCCAAGCTTTCATGGAGCAATCAGACTTGCAAAGGGAGAAGAAAAGGTTTTGGCTTTCCAGCCTGAGGCCTCTGTGGCAGACTTTGCTGACTCTGGGGGAAGAGATAGGAGGATGATCCCATATATGTGAAGTAGGGGGAAGACTTTGTTATAAGAGAAACCATATCTGTACCCATACTCTTGCTTTTGGGTCTAGCTCAGTAGTCTTCCCAGTGTGCCAGAGAAGGGCACCCACCCACCCCCAACTGGCAGATCTCAGCAGATCTTCCAGAGAAAAGAAGCATCAGACAAGCACTGCACCAAGTCTCTCTGTTTGCTAATGTAACAGAAGTGCCCAGGAAGGATATGGATAAAGGGGTGCATCCTAAACTATTTAAAATCACCTCAGTATAGAAGAAACAATTGTTTTTCTTCTGAGACAGCTTCCTGGATAGGTGGGACAGAAACCATGAAGTTACCTCCTCCTCAACCTTTATTTCCCTCTGCTGTCTTAGTCAGGCTAATCAACAACATGGAGCCAAAAGTAAGATCTGTAGCGTACATTTACTTTAATTAGGGTTAACCTGTGTCTGTACCAATGAGTGACCAAAGATCAGAGGAATTCTGCAATTATTGTCTTAATTGCACAAGCTCTTTCTACACATTTTATTTTATCCTAATACACACCAGGAATGTGTTTGTATCCCTTGTGCTAGACCAGTTTTTCAGGTGTTATATGAGCTTCATGCTTGATAAAAACAATTTAGTGAATAAAAAATGCATTAGATTTAAAACTGGAAAGCAGAGAGGTTGAAGGTTCCAGATTTGGATCACGTTTAGGTAACATACATCAGATTTGTGAGGGTAGCTAAAGAGTCAGCCTCATAGGTTTGAAAACAGATTTATAGTTACAGACTGAAGTTTTGCACTGGGACTTTAGAACATCTTCCCATGAAAGCATGAATAAGCAAGAACTGACAAAAGATTTTGAATGGGAGAATAAGGTAAACTAATACTCTAAACAATCAAAATGCTGCCTTTAACAAGAATGATCCTTTAGGTATTACAGCTAAAGAGTATGTTCGTCGTTTGAAACCAACTTGTAACTCGTGTTGATGTTAAATGGATTGAGTGAATGCAGGGCCTGGGAGGGTAACTAAAACTTTTGCTTGTCTGCCTGATCTTTTTAAGGTATTCCTCAAATACTATCACGTGGAACAGCTAAATTTAATGCGGAAGGAGACAGTTGACATGATTATTTTGATTCAAGCTTGTGTAAGAGGATGGCTGGGTTCAAGGAGATACAAAAAGATAAAGGAACAAAGGGAACAAAGTGCTATTAAAATACAGTCAGGTAATAGCTTTAAAAGATTTAACATTTTACTTAAAGCTAGTATGAGCATACGGTTGATAGATGGATGTGCATGCTGGGTGTGGATTTTGATGTTTTCCTGCTGATACATTTGACAAAATATCTTGTACTTGGTGATATCTGTGCTTATGGAGAAAAATTTCTTTTAACCAGGTTATGACAATCTCTTTACTGAAGTTACATTTATCAATGTTACATTTAAAAGGCGATTTTAACAATGGAAGGATGTGATTGCACAGATGATACTGTTATTAATAATATTCTGGCGTGCTCTGACAAGGTTGTATAATATAATAATAATGAAAATAACACGTATTAGCTGCCCTAGATAATAAGACAAATTACACTGTTGATGGAGACATCAACTGAAATTTTTAATATATTTGAAACATCATCTTATTTTACATTCTGATTCTTTTGTGGTTTGTATTCATTTCATTCATAATAACTTTACTCACCAGAAAACAGGTTTTATGTAGATTTACTGCTTGTGCATGTTTGCCATTTCTTTTGAAAGCTAAAGCCTGCAAAATATTTATGAATATTTTAATAGAGGTCTGTAATTCCTTCCAGAATGTTTTTATTCTTATAGTACTTGTGTACCTACTGGATTACTTAATTTTTGACATCTCTTTTCAGCTTACAGGGGTTTTGTTGCTCGTAAAGAATACACAAATGCAAAACGGAATAAAAAGGTGGAAGAATATATTACTAAACTTCAAGCAAGTAAGAACTGTTTGCTTCTGTGGCTTTTAATGTGCTATCCATACACAATACGTTGATCCAGATTCTTTGCTATTGCCTAGCTACACTGATTGACTATGTTCATTTACTTATTTCGAGGTATAATTTATCCATTATATGCCTATACACAGTGGTTGAAATGGGTTAATATATTCCATCACCTGTACCTCGAAGTGACTTAGAGGCATTTTCCACAGCTGTGAAGTGGGCTGGTTAAATGCCTTGGCAAGCCTTCTCACTCCTAGTCTGATATGTCTAAGTATTACAGCTGGTGTTGTTGAAGCCCCATATGACACTGTCTGCCTGTGTTGTTTGTGTGCATGCTGTTCTATTAGGAATAGGTTTTGTTACATATCAGTAATAGTTATGTTTGAGAAGACTACAACCTGTAATTTCACTCATGTCTCTGATTCTTTTTTTGCCATCACTCAATCCAGCCTAGCAAAATATGCCTTCCCTTTTGCAGCAATAATCACCTTGGACCCAGATGTATGCTATGTGACATCCCTTTTTCCTCTCTTTATTTCTGTCTCCCCCATCCCTACAGAGATGTCCCTGAGCCAGATGTAGTCTAGGCAGCTCTGAAATCAGCAGCAGTACAAGTAAAGGCACAGGTCTGAAAACAGCTGGCACAAATCTGCACAGCACTTTCAGCAATTGCAAAGGTGGCCACCCCAAATATAAGCTCGTGCTGCCAGTACCCATGCTATCTAGATTTCAGCTACTTCAGCTACACATTCATGAGTATATATCAACACCAGTGCTGGTTTTAATCATTGTCAGATGCATCTGTTAATTGCACTGAGTCAATGTTAGTGTGTACTCAAGAGCACTTCACTGTAGCTGGTAAAGCTTCACCAGTGTAGAAAACAATCTAAAACCAGAATAAAATCCATTGACGTGCCAAAAATAATTATACATCCAAAAGTTGTCAATTTGTCGTGGTTTAAACTGAGCCAGCAACTGAACACCATGCAGCTGCTTACCCACTCCTCCCCCCTCCCAGTGGAATGGGGAGGACAATCAGAAAAAAAGGTAAAACTCATCAGTTGAGATAAGAACTAAACCAAAATAAATAATAATAATAATAATAATAATAATAATAATAATAATAATAATAATGATGATGATGATGAAAAGGAATATAACAAAAAGAGGGATAAATAAAATGCAAGAAAAGACAAGTGATGCACAATGCAACTGCTCACCACTCTCTGACCAATGCTTGAGCAGCGATCTGCCCCTTCTGGCCAACTCCCCCCAGTGTATATACTAAGCATGACGTTCTAGGGCTAGACTATCCCTTTGACTAGTTCGGGTCGGCTGTCCTGGCCTGCCCCCTCCCAGCTTCTTGTGCACCTGCTTACTGGCAGAGCATGGGAAACTGAAAAATCCTTAACTGAGGATGCGTGCTACTTAGCAACAAATAAAACATCAGTATATTGTGAACGTTATTCTTGCACTAAATCCAAAACACAGCACTGTACCAGCTACTAGGAAGAAAATCCCAGCTGAATACAGGACACAATTATATTAGGATATAATTGTGTCCTGATATAGCAAATGCAAAAGTTTGTATTTACTACTTTGCTCTGTTTGTTGATCTCCCCATTGTTTCTTGTTGTCCACCTTTTCTGTCCTGTGTGCAGTTTCATTTCAACTTTTTTCAGTGCACAAGAAGCCAGAACAAAATGGAAGTCCATTTTTACTTAGCTCTCTCAGTCCCCCCACCACCACCACCTTTATTTCTAAAGCAATATGAAACTCCTCCTACAGTTTGAACAGCTACTCTCTCATAACAAAGTTCTCAGGAAACTTCAAAGGTGAACCAGAATGAGTCTAAAAAGACCAGACAGTTTATATTGGCGTGTCCATTGACAGTGTAACTTCATTTATTTCAAAATAACTTTTGTTGAGTTGCTTTTGTATGAAAATGGAATGAGGATTGGCTCAGAAGTCCAAGAAACTCTAGAATTTTTCCAAGTGCTTTACAATTTGCACTTTTCTAAGGCCCTGTCAGACTGCAGTATAAAAAACAATTGTGTCGCTTCCAAATAAGTATTTGGGTTTCTTTACCCTATATCAAATTATCAAGATGTAATTTGTGTCCCTTTTATACAGTGCTTCTTACACTGAACCACTGCATCTAGTGGAGCCCAAGTTGGTCTAAATTATGAGTACAGAATGCTAAAGCAAATAAAACCTAGCACGAAGTAATATGAACTTGTTAGAATAGACTGCTTATGCTCCTTCCCCATTCTTAAGTGAGCTTGACTTTCCCTGTGATGCAAAATGCCCCCAGCAGAGTTGTAGCAAGAGCTCCCACATCTATCATCTCCTCAGGGTATTTTAATCACCTGAATCCTCTATCCTCATAGTCTTGGTACTGCATTTGGAATTAGAGTTCAACAGAAATAATTTGACAAAGCACTATGTTCTTTTTATTTTGCCAAGGATTAGTGGATTTGCACTGAATCCCTGGAATGCAGACTTGTCCAAATCACAGCACTGTGGAGACTGTGCCAGTTCCCATTAGAAAAATATTTGCAAGTTTAGGAATTTTTACATTCTGAATGCAATTCAGTTCCTGATTAAGACTCTTCAGTGTAGATGTCTAAAGGTGACCTAAAGGTGTGTAAACTCCTCTTACAGTCGGCAAAGCCTAGAGTTCGATTCATTTTATTCAAAACTACCAAATGCTCAGCTCATTTGTCTGCTTATTGGTATCTAGTGTCATTTGAGATGCCCTAGGTTATCTTGCCTGGCTTCCAGCTTTATTTCATGTGGTATATCCAACTTTCTCTCTCCAGAAAGTCAGGTCTGTCTTGCTTTTTCTGCCAGCTCCAGGTAGATGCACTGGCTATCCTGGAGCAGTTCAGATGGTACTAGATACTATGTGCCAGCAATTGTGTCAAGCCCCCAGTGACTAGTCAGCACCTACATGTCTCAGGAAAGACCCATGTTTGAGTCCTTATTCATCCTGCTTCAGACCAGAAACTTGAACTTGTGCCTCCCACAAAGCACAAGCAGCATGTACCCTTGCCACAGTGCACCTGGTTACCATGGAGCTTAGCACATCTTTCATGCTGAGATTTTTCAATTTGAATAACGAGTCTTTGCAAAAGGAGCATGAGCTAAGTCTTCTGTAACTGCTGAGCTATAAAATTTTCAGTTTTTCTCTGATCTATTGAATGTCCAGCTAATTCCAAGCCTGTTCCAGAAGAGAGCCTGGTAATCTCTGTAGCCTGATAATCAGGCATTTCCCAGGGAAATGAAAGACTGAGTCAAATCAATTGCCTGAATCAGGTGAAGCAGGTACGTGAAGAGCACTGTGTTCTAGAGATACTTCTATAGCACTATGCTTCTGCTTCATTCTGCATCTTCCTGCATTTTCTTTAGTCCAATAAAAGAAGAAAGAGCTTGTTTGTATTCTCATGTAGAATGGGTACAACTTTCTGAAATCTCAAAAAAGTTTTGTGTGACAATAATTTCAGATGAAATGTAATCATAATAACCACCCTGGTCCATATTTCCTTGCTGGGTTTTGTTTAATTTGACTCTGTGGAATGTGTGGGACACCCATTGCTTGTTGCCTAAGGTTGTTTTGTATTACAATTTGTATCAGTTGCCAGAGGATACTTACTCAGGAAGAAGAGAAAAGAACTAACTGAGACAAGAAACAAAGCAGCAATAACAATTCAGTCTCACTACAGGGGATATAAAGAAAGGAAGATCTTCGAAAGGAGGAGGTAGTGTTATTTCCTATCTCTTACGTTGATCAAATGTGTCCCTTTTCAGCTGAAGAAGAGCAATGTAAGCTAAAAGTGAAGCAAATTAGGATTATTCTAGATATTTATGCAGAGGAAATGTGCATTTATGTGAAGGTTTTTAATGCCACTAGCCAATTTTCTCATGTTTTTAAGCCAAAGGAATAAAGGCATATTCAGGGGAAAGATGGACAATATTGTGCTTACCTGTAACGTTAATGCGATCTGTAGATGAGTCTCTTTTTGGAACTAGCTCATCATTAAAAATGCTCAGACAAGAGCAAGAAACAGACATCTGCAAGGAACTGTCCTTCTCATCTTAAGTCACTGTTTGAGACAAGCATAGGTGATGACAGCAGGAACCCAGATGTCTGGCTCAGGTCAAACAGCTAAAAGTTAGGTGAGGTGAATCACATTCTAAATATCTTTGCAATGCAGTTGTAGTCCCGGTCTCTGAAATGGAGCTAGTAGCACTTTGCTCATCACCATGGTTTTTTCAATGAGAGCATTTAACTAAGTGGAGACTAGTCCAGAGAGGTGGAAAACACTTGTGAAGCAGTTCAGACTCTTTCAGAGGGAAAAAAGAGGGTGACCGATTTCACCTAGCACTGAAGTTTTATTGATAGTAACAAAGACAGTTTAGGGACTAGATCTTTTAAATTTGACCTAGACATATAGCCAGGATCATTCTTTTTGCATTCCTAATGTGACCTGAGTCAGTTTTCTTTCATTAATACATTTATGATTGTGTGTATTTATACATATTTGAGGTGCTAAAAAGTTTCGGCCTTATGTTTTTGTTAACATTTAAATTAATCCTTTGCTGTTTTATCAGCCCTCATGCAGGCTAGATTGTCCCCCTAGCAATTTTCCTTGAAGAACAGGGATGTTCCTTTTCACTTTAAGAAATAATAGTCATCAGAAAGACAGAGATTGCTTTGCTATCTTTAATTCCAGTCACAAACAGCACCAAAGGTAGCTGTAAAGTTGTGACTATCCTTCACCTCCTTCAGCTATAATTTTTGCCCAAAATTCTATTCTATTCAGGGAATCACTTAGAAAGAAACAAACGGAAAATGTGGCATCCATTAGTGAGAAGGAAAGGGATGAAGACTTTCAAGATAATGAGGAAAGTCCAGCTGGAGTGAAGAGTGCCCTTCCTAAAACAGAAGAAGAAGCAGTTGTCATTGTTCAGAGCCATTACAGAGGCTACAGAGTACGTAAAAAAATAAAGGAACAGCACAAAAAAATAGCAGAGGAAGAATTATCTGCTGTGGAATTCCTTGAAGCACAACTGCAGCCAGCTCAAAGTGATACATTGGAAGAAGCAGCAAACGAGGAGACTCAAGGTGAAACTAATGATGCTACTGATAGCGAGTGCTCTGGGTACAGTGACACAAGGAATGTACGAGAGCAACAGAAAACATCTACTGAAGGAGAGGGAGATTCTGTGAAGCAGAACCCTGCAGTAGAACATGGTGAGGGTGAAGAACAGGCCCCTTTGGAAGAGTTGTCCAGCAAATCTGTCAAAATCACAGCTGAACCTAGTCCCCAGCAGGAGCACGATAATCAAGACACAGTCAGTGCAGATGGACAAAATCAAGAATCTGCTGTGGTCCAGCCCAGGACTGACAAGGATGTGGAAAGAAACCGCCTGAAACATGAAGCAGTGATGCCTACAGGATGTAAAGGCATTATAAGAAAAGAGTCAATAAGAGGCTCACGGAAGCAAGTTGAGGTGGTAAAACAAGGTTCAGAAGACAAAGAGAAGGCAGCAGTGGTTATTCAGAGCAGTTTCCGGGGTTACAGAAGGAGGGGACAACTCAGAAAAGAAGGGAAACTACCTTGCAAAAGTCAAGAGAAAACTATAAAGGAGACAACAGAAACAGTATACATTCAAAATAATGATCCCCAGAACACAAAAGATAGGGAAAGCACCAGTATGGAGGCTGAGGACTCCAAGACACTGAAGGGAGACTCAGAGAAAGAGGCTTGTGATTTGGCAGCCTTCTCACGGCAGGTAAGAAGGTTGTAAGCTATGTGTGTTGAGCATAATACTCTGAGCAGTGACAGAATGGCCAAGTTATTTTACTGGCTGCCGTGGCACCAAGATTTTACTTTCTAAACTAAGACTAAGATTTTGTAATGAGTCAATTGGTCACAACAGCGCTACAGGCTTGGGGACGAGTGGCTGGAAAGCTGCCCAGCAGAAAAGGACCTGGCAGTGCTGGTCAACAGCCGGCTAAACGTGAGCCGGCAGTGTGCCCAGGTGGCCAAGGCAGCCAACAGCATCCTGGCTTGTATCAGCAATAGTGTGGCCAGCAGGAGCAGGGAGGTGATTGTGCCCCTGTACTCGGCACTGGTGAGGCCGCACCTCAAATCCTGTGTGCAGTTTTGGGCCCCTAACTCCAAGAAAGACACTGAGGTGCTGGAGCATTTCCGGAGAAGGGCAACGAAGCTGGTGAAGGGTCTGGATAACAGGTCTGATGAGGAGTGGCTGAGGGAACTGGGGTTGTTTAGTCTGGAGAAGAGAAGGCTGAGGGGAGACCTTATCGCTCTCTACAACTACCTGAGAGGAGGTCGTAGTGAGGTGGATGTCAGTCTCTTCTCCCAAGTTACAAGGGATAAGACAAGGGAAAATGGCCTTAAGTTGCTCCGGGGGAGGTTTAGATTGGACATTAGGAAAAATTTCTTTACCGAAAGAGTGGTCAAACTTGGAACAGGCTGCCCAGGGAAGTGGTGGAGTCACCGTCCCTGGAGGTGTTCAAAAAACATCTAGATATGGCACTTCGGGACATGGTTTAGTGGGCATGGTGGTGTTAGGTCAATGGTTGGACTTGATGATTTGAGAGGTCTATTACAACCTAATGATTCACTAATTCTATACAAATGCGTATTTTGGGCTGCAGGAGAAAATACCTTTTTGAGGAAGGAGGGAAAGACAAAGAGCACTGGCAAAAAATCGTTAGTTTTAACAGGGTATAGGTTAAATGTAGAAGCTTTGTCTTTGTTGAAATGTGCGTTTACCAGGCAAGGCCCTTAATTCAGTACACTTGTGAGATGTCTCTGTAAATTAAACTAAAAGTTGCTGTGTCAATGTCAGGGACTAACACATGTGCAGAGAAGTATGCCTACAGCTGTAGAAGCTATTTTGCATCACCAAGTCACTGGCTGCTCATATGTGTGAACCGATGTGAAGTAGCTGCAGGACTGGACTGCAGTGTGGAGTTTCATACGTGTCTTTCTTCTGTTTTTTCTTCCTTTTTAAGCGGGATGGGGAGGCAAATGTGGTAGGCATCTACACTGCAGTGAGTGAAGCAATACCTTTTAAATTAAATTGCTAGTCCATTGTTTTACCTTTGATTACCTTGAGACATTTATACTTATTTATATAATAATATAAAATCCTGTGTTATATTTTTCAGATATCAAAATTATCTGAAGACTACTTAGCATTGCAGCAAAAATTGAATGAAATGATATTGTCACATCAGTTGAGACCCGTGATGCTGTCCAAAGATAAGCAAGCTAGTGGTCGACTTTCTACTCATGTTTGTCAGTCAGGTAATGTTGAACCTTACTGTTAGCAGAATTTTCATTTGTAAACAGATTTGTCAAGAAGTGACTCTTAGTCATGTTTTTAAACACCAGGGAACTAGTAGATGAGTTAGCTCTGGCTTGTCATATAACTCAGACTGTATGTTTTTATCCTAAGCCCCGTATCAGTACATACCTAGAACATAGCTGCCAGAGAAATATCCAAGCCTGGTTACATATTTACCATTTTTCTTGAAACTTTGTTTCAGTAATGATTAAGATTAGTGAATGAATCATTGTGAGACCTAGACATAGCATCTTTAGGAATCCTTTTATTTGGTAAAATTTCCACGTTGGCTCTTTTTTTACTCATATGTTGCTCAGCTGTGTGTGCTATTGGTAAAATATGGGACCATGTTTTAAAAACAAAGTATTTTTTTAGGTACTATGTCAAATAATTTACTATAGTTTGTCACGTATATGCTAAGTAAAGTTTTAGCTATCCACAAATGCAACTGAGGCTATCAAAACTTGTAGCTCCTACCCATGTTGGTGGGTATGTCCTTAAAATTACAAGTAAATTTATTAATAATTTGCATCCATTTGACTCACATACTTAAGAGGACATTACTCCTGAAAATACACTCCAAAGTTATTTAAATTGCAGCTAACATGGGTGAGATTTCCAAAATGAAAGCAGGCTTGGAGCAGGTTAGGTGGCAGTGGGGAGAAGTATTGGGAGAGTAAGGTGGAAGACATGGGATTCAGAGCATGCAGATCACTAAGAGTAAGCAGAGAGGTCCACAAAGCTGACTGAGCTGCTTGAGCCTCTGCAGTTGGCATAGACGTAACAGGGGATTTCGTCAGCCTGTGTCTTGGGCTGCAGATGTAGAGGAAGATGAGGGCAAACATGGCAGATGTCTGGGTGGGTCTCCATTTCTTCAGAGGGGCTTGTGCCAGCCCATGCCACTGCACTGCCTCTGAGGAAGATCTCTGCTCACCTCTGCAGAGCTGTGATCAGATCCAGGACTGTCCCTCACTGCCCAGAGCTAATTGTACTATTTTCACTATAACATTCTGAATTCAGCTGTCGTATATGCTGAAACTTCTTTCCATTCCCATGGCTACACTGAATAGATCCTAAAAGTACTTCATCCCTGCTTTGCAGTCCTCAAATAGGCAAGCTGCTAAAATGAGGGCTGGGTGTTTACAAAAGTTAAACCTCCAAGTGTAAACTGGCTGCTGGTAGATAATCTATGTAGTTCAGCCTGTTTTCAAGACCAAAGTCTGCAAGAGAAAACAAATGTGAAATAGAAAACTAAGTGGTATGATCTTTAATTAAAGACAGAGCAATGTTTGTGATTGTCATTAATGGGTTTGTACTGAGTTCTCTATTAAATGCTGCAGATTTTTTAGGAGATAAACCTGAGGAATTAAAAATGCATGCTTTGGAAAATAATTCTTGGTTCTTACATATTTTCCTACAGAAGCTAGAGAAGAGAGGTAGAGAGAGGGAAAGGGAATACACAAATCCCTGTTTTATCAGTTGAAGATCTCATTGCTTACACAACTGAACCAGATGAAAATGTACCAGTATGTTAATGCTATGTGCAAAATGGAGCAAAGTCTACCCTTCACATTGCTGTAAATTAAGTAGCTCTACAGGAGGCAAAAGGATGCCAGGGTTTGTCACCTGTGCATGCAATCCCGCTTAACGTGGTGACCAGTCAGCAACTTCACTTCCCTTTATCTCTGAAAATGTCCCACTGCTTTAAATCTCTGTGGTGTCATAATACAGCGGTTTTGCAATGGTAAAGTGTGTGGAAGTGCTATGTTGTATCCTTTTGAACACTGTTGTGAAAAATGTCATACACTTCTTTGAACCAAATCAAAATGCTTTTTAAGATAACACTGAAACAGTTGTTGAGTCGCACAAGAGACCAGGTCTTTGACCTCATTTTAATAAATAAAAGGAACTAAGATTTTTTTTACAAGCTGAAGTCATGTGGTCTTAGCTAAAGGAGGATTTATTTTTCTTTGTTTTCTCCTGACAAATGTCTGTATGTGTGACATGACAGCACTTAGCTCTTGTGCATCAGGGAAAATCTGTAAGAAAGTTGTAATTAATAGCATCAGAATAATTTTTGCCCTTTTTTCTCTTTCTCTTCTGGGTGCAAAAATTGAATGTTTGTGTCCTGCTTTGGCTGGGACAGAATCCCAGCCCAGCCATGGCAGACAGGCTGTCAGCAGTTTGGAGTCAGACAGGGCAGCTGACCTGAGTGAGCTACAGGGGTAGCCCATCCCATCATGTCATGGTCATTATAAAGGGGGAAGGTTTGCTGAGGAGAGAGAGCTCCTGGAGGGGTTCCTCCTGCTCCTCTTCTGGCTTCCCCTAAGGTCTGCTCTTTGGTCAGTTGTGACAACTGGCCAGTCATTTGGCTGAGTGTAACTCTGTATCTGTTTGTTGGTATTGGGCTGGTGAGAGGTCATCAGGTGATAGAGCAATTGTTACAGTTTAGCCCTGGATACCGCTAAAAGTAGATAGTTTGCTCTTTTGACTAATGGTCTTTTACAAAAAATGTCAGCAATATCAATCATAACTTTAAAACAGTAGGAAGCATCAAGAAGAGTCCTGAATGCTCATATTCGTATAGATTAAAACATACATTGTGGTCAAGGCATGCTTATTTCAAGATAGCTCATGCAGAATTTTAGTAAATTTTTTTTTTCAAAATAAATATGCTAGACACATGCTTTTGATTTTGGTTAAATTGCTGCAAGTTGGAATGTAGACAAGGTGAGTACAGAGCTCAGGAGGCTTTACTCTTTACAAGCTGAATTCATGTCAAATGAAATAGTAGGTGCGTTTTCACTAAGAAGCAATAACTTAGAGAATACTTAAGTAAAAATGTACCTGTGTTCAGCTTATTTAGGTTGTACTGTCTACAGCATGGGGGTTATTCTGGGTATTGTACTTTCTTCCTGTGTGCAATGTAGTAAGATAACTACGTAGAATGAAGACTTGAGGTAATGTACTGCAGACTATGATGCTAAAGCAAAGCAGGTAGATGTGAGTGATCCACTGTCTATTACACAGGGAGAAAGCTTCCTGTCTTCTTGCCTATATTATGTGTGTGTTACCATACAATTTATACATGCATATTTACAGAAGGATATGCTTTTACTGTAGATTTCCCTCTAGGGCTATCTTTGCTGTCCTATCCTTATGAAGGCAAGGCTTGTTGAGCTTTAGCTGTTCTTTAAATCATGTAGTATTTACCTATTTGTTATTACTTTGGTCATTTAAATTTCTTTACACTTATTCCTCAGCACTAGTTTTATATGTCATTTTACAGCTATAATACATGAATTGTATTTTATAGCTGTATGCCAGATAGGAATACTCATCTGACTTCATCTGTGGGTAGGTGGCCATTGTTCAGTTTGAGAATTTACTGGTTCCTCTGATAAAATATTTTATTATATTGCTACCCACAAAAGGGAAGGCACTGTGGAACTGCTAGATGACATACTGTGACAAATGTTCAGATTTTCGAGACTGTTTATTTTAATAAGAATGCAAAGCCTGCAGTTTAAAGAACATATGAGCAAAAAGGTTAAATGAATCTTAAATCCACAAGGTTAAGTTGTTCTTAAGTGAATGTATTTGTATTTATAAAAATGCATAAAGCAAGCTGCATAAGGTTTCTGGATTAAACAATATTCCCTGTGATTTGAATTTCTGTGTAGGTTATATTTGCTTGCTAAATGCTTTCAGCTAAACATAATGGCTGCATCCTAGGACTGCACCTTTGGACCGCTAGTGAGCCTTGGGTTACTGACTTGTCAGAATAGATGCACAAATGGCCACTGTCAAGTTTTTTGAGGTCAAAGCCTGAAGTGAGGGGAGTTTGATCATTATAGGAGCAATTTTTTTTCTTTTGTCTCCAGATGAACAACAGTGCCCATCCTTCTAAGTATTAAATGACAGTTCAAGTACAAAATCTCAGGAAGAGAATTTGCTATATTTAGAATGAAATTCACGTGGTACCAAGAACTCTGCTGCAGCTGAGGACCTTTTCAGCTACCTGAAGCAGTGAGATAGGCAGGGTTTTCATCCAGGATTCCTCCTGCTGTAGGCTGCTGCAGCACTGTGGGCTTTTCATGGGCAGCCTTTGTAAGGAAAAGGAGGCCTGTGTAGCACTGGGTGAGCAGAGCTGCGTTCACTGGATGGTCTGTCTTCTTTGTGAGTGAGTGGCCAGCCAGGGAGCACTGAGGCGTGGGGCTGGAGTAAAGCAAGGTAGTTGAGCGCTTCTGCTCTCTGGTGGTTCTCAACTACTGGAGTGGCCCTTTGGACACAATGCAGCCAGGACGTACAAGATCTGTCTTGGGAGTTGGTCAGATCCATGGCAGAGCATAAGATTTGGGAGGTCACGGGAGTGGAGTACAGCCATTTTCCTTAAACATCCTCTCTTAAATAGCAGTAATCCCAGGTCACCAGACTCTCAGAAATTAGAGTATTAGTGTCAGACAGAGACTGAAACTGCTTCCGTCAGCGGGGCTGCCAGGACTTAGGCATGAGAGATCAAACATTCTCAACTCCTGCTGTGTGCAATCGCGAAGTTCTAGGTCTGTGCCAGAGTAATCCATGTGTTGTTTTTTTTCCAGATTGCTAAGAATTTGCACCCATCAACCATAACTTCCAAATCTGGCTGTGGTAAACATGCTGTGAATAAACACCTAAAAATTACTAACCAGAATGCTGAAGAGAAGTGCTTGTCTATGTACAAATCCCAAACCTGAGTAATTACATTTTCACGTTGTGTACAATTAGGACAGTAAAAAGGTATGCACATAAATGTTGTAAGCAGTAATAGCTGTGCACTTCTCATTGTGAAGTCCTGGAATTCCAGTTGCATTTTTCTGATTACTTCCAAGGCCGTCTACAAAACCCATACAATTACTACTCTTACTCATGTTTTTCTTCTTGCTGTGTTTTGAGCCTGGCTTTACACTTCTGTCACCATAAGATGCGGAACAGCGCTGAATCAGAAGTGTAACGTTTCACTTAAATGACCTGAAGGCAGATTTATCTGTTTCTCCAGGTGGCCTAGTAAATAGAGACCCTTCATCACTTAGATGCTTATCACAGCTGTAACCACACTATTTCTCCAGTCTTCAGGATAAAATCTGTTGTAAGTCATATGTTAATTTATATTAGCATCCATGGAAGTTGATTACTTGAGATTGTTGTCTTCCAAGCTTATCATTGTGTGTCAGAATGTGCAGACATAGTTCAACCTAAAGGGCTGTTAATACTGACTCATCTTTATTCAAGCATCTCTTGCTCATACTTGAATGTTTCAAGCACATGCAGCTTTCTGCAGTTTCTGTAGTTTATGGTGGTGCTCAAGATACACATACATTAAATGAGCTGGTCCTAAATTTCATTGTCTGTTTTCTTGTTTTTTCATGTGCTTGGAGCTTTTAGTGAGGGCTGAGTATGAAAGTAGTAACACCTTGTAACTGAACACCGTGGAGTCGAAGAGTGAATGTGCAACTTAGGTAGGATTCTTTGAGGTAGTGTTAAAGAAGTTAGCTGAGATACTGATAGGAATAAAGAATTTTCCTTAGATTCACTAAACCTTCTTTAATGTAACCTGGCAGCTGCACTGTTCACATCCCTTCACTGACCCTTAACTCTGTAATTCATTCCTTCTCACAGGGAATGACTTTAACTTTTATTAAACTTTCCATCACTACTTGATTGAATGTGTATTTTGACAGTCTGCTTCAGGTTTGGACAGAAGAGAGGTTTAACTTCCTGAGCATGGGTTACAGCATGGCTGACATTCACTGTTGAGGTTTAAAAGCAAAGCATTCAGGTCACAAGAGCAAAACCTCTTTCTCTTCACTGAGTGCTGACTGCATGCACTTGGGCAGTTTGAGGAAAATCCTTCCTTTCAACTTGTTCAACCCATCTTCCTCTTGGTAAAAACCTTTAAAAAGGTATGTCTGTGTAGTATCAAATGTTTTTGTTTCCAGTTTCTCCTGCACATTCCTTCTAAGGAATGGGAATGTGTGGCAGCACTGACAGCACCTGTTCAGGTAGATATAACTACAGGACATGGGCTGGCTGCAGAGCCGGGAGTCTCAGCCCAGCTCTTCAGTCCAGCTCCTTGCCTGTGCTAGTGACTAGCTGGGACATAATCTTAAGGAAGTCTCGGTACGTCTTGCCTTGTGCATCTCATTTATCCTGCTAGTAGGATAGGGATGATAGTGCCAACCCGACATTTCCAAAGTGCTTTGACAGCTACTGCTGTGAATGGTTTTTACATCAATGTTGTAACTTATCTACTTAAATGTTTCTTAGATAGAAAGCGTCAGTTTTCCTTCTACGTGTAAAGCACATGGCCAGATCTTACTACAGATACTTGAAGTCTTAAGGAAAAATAGGCTATAAGATATTTTACTATGGAGAGATGGGGCTTCAATAAAAAGCTTTTCTTTGTAATGGACTCTAGAAGCAATGTAGTTGGCCTATTAATAAGTAAATGATTTTACACTCTTCTGTTTCATTGCCTACTGCAGAAAGATATAGGCCATCTGGAAAACAAGTACATCGAACTCACCATTTATTAGGCTTGGGTATTTAATTTGCCTTCCACCTTTAAGTCTACTAAGTAAATGATTTCTGGAATTATCAGCGACTAATAAAAAAGCAAATTTTACTTTTTGCAGTGAGTTACCCAACACAAGAAACTACCACGTCAGCTGTATTTCAGTAGCAACAAACACACAAATATTAGTGCAGAAGGAAATCACGGGTTCACTTTCTGGTGGAACAAACAGAGCTAAACCCATCTAACTATTTTTTACTTACTGTGTAATTCAGAGACAAAATTCAGAATTGCGTTTTCAGCCTTCTGTGTAATTTTAAAAAGGAACGATGGAGGTCCAAGCTTAGAAGGCTGCCTGCCCTAACATTGTGTTTCTGTCCCCGCAGTTCTTCTGCATAGCTCATACATGTGTACAACATATAAGCCAAGATGAAAAGCTGTTTTTTACTGAAACTCTTATCATTGTCAAAATTATATTTTTTGAATATAAGAGGAGTCCTATTTGCATAGCACATACACAAGAAGTATACAAGTAATTTCAGTTGGAATAATTGTAATCTAGAATATGATAATACTTTATGTGTTTGACAGTGATGAATTAAATAACATAACAGCTTACATAGTGATGAATTCTTGGAGAACAATAAAAAATCTTTAGGTATTATGAGAGCCTTTTCCTTGGGATTTTCCTAAAGCCCTCATTTTGGCTTCATTTTCTTTTTCCAGATTTTCATGCAGTTATGATCTTTGATATAACTTTTGAAAATGTCCTACAGATGAGGGATTAGGTGTTTCTATTCAACTACACTGAATTTTAAGGGTTTTTTTTAAGTTATTGTTTCTAGTTTAGGCTCCTGTTGTGTTTAAAAATGAAATGGGGAAGATATGCCTCTACTCTCTCACAAATGGAAACTCAGATAACTCCAGGTGGCCCATTTGAAATGGAGCAGGGTAACAACAGCCCACATAAGAGCACAGTCAGGCCTGCTATACCTATTCAAATCAAAGACTGTAATTTATATTTAATACAGGTTACTGAAATGAATTTATTGCATCTAAATTTCATTGTTTAACATGAATTATCTATATGCTGGCTTAGAAAAATACCATTGTTTTCTTAAGTGTAAAATGTTAAAAGATACTTGTTCATTCCTTAGATGAGAAGCAGTCTGCATGTCAGATAAGAAACTAAAACAATAAATGCAATCATTATCCAACTACAGTTTAAATTAACATTATTCGTTCTGGCTCTTCTATATATCCGTGACCTTTACAAGCCTTTATTTATCACGCATAACGAAAAACTTGCACAGCTAATTTTGCAGGAGTCAACACTGATGTATTACTGATAGTTTCTCATTTAAAATTATTGTTTTACCTCTTTAATTAAAAAGATGTCTAATGTACATGGACGAGGTTTTATTTTTGTCATGTAAAAGGATTACTGATGGTCATTAGAGAACAAAATACATTCTTCCTTCTAAGACTCAGTCACATATAGTTAGCACATCTGGGTTATGGAGTTAAAGTTGCTTCATGTGAAAGACGAGTAGATCAGCAGAACACACTTCAGTAATTCATTGGGAGCTAGATCTGCATTACACCCTCACACTATTCATTTTTGAGTAAGGAGATATTTTTTACTCATGGACTGTCCTCTGAATACTTCTGCGATGGGACAAGGACAATGTAAAACCTCCCTGCATAATGCAATGTACCTGGACACATGGCTCACCATGCCTAGACCCTGCATGTGTCCCTGTGACCCATCTCTATTGTAGGTGTTCTGCTGCTGTGTAACCCCCTTCTCCCTCATCATGAAGGAATTGCTGTAGCCCCCTATTAGCTTTTCCTATAGCTGAACCCAAATGTAAGGTGGTCATGCTCACCATGCAGTACATTTGTGGTCCCTCAGCCCCCCAGAGTCACTTCTGTGGTCTCCAAGAATGAGGCATTAGGAGCCCTGCGTTCTGTGTTGGCTCTGTGACAAACAGCCTATGAACCCTTGGCAGCCCTATATCTTGGCACTGTCGGAATTGCATATAGATTTCTAACAAGCAAATGTCCAAGACATTTTTCTAGTTCTCCGTGTGCCAGCCAGTGTAACCCACAAGTCTGTGTCTAACTCGTGAGTTTGGAGACTGCCAGAGGACAGCAGTTCCATTTTGTGTTAAAATCTTGATTTTAGTTTCATTGTTTCACAGTGAAAACATTTTTTGCATGTTTGCAGGAAGTTTTTGTAGAAATAGACCAGAAGGTGAATATGCTAAACTGGATTACACTGGATGTGATGGACATGGTCATGCTGTGTTGCCCAGTGATACATGATTTGGTGATTTGTCTTGAAACAGAACAGCCTCAGCAGGAGACCTTGGGGAAAGTCTACACCATGATAATGTAGAGGACTAACTTCCAAATCAGACGTCTAATGCTAGTTCCCTCATTTGGCATCTTAATCATTGACTTGAGTCTGAAAAAACATCATCCCCACTGCCCAGGTCCACGTTACGAGATGGTAGCCTTCCAGTGTCGGTTACCCTTCAGAGTCCTTTTTTGAATGTGGAGTGTCAGCCCTTTTCAGAAGGAGAAGCCTGTGCCAGGCAGACTGCTGGGCTGTTTGAGCTTGACATTCATTACATGGCATGTGTCCATACGGGTAGTCAGGACTCAAACAGATAAACCAATTCTGCTTTCCAGTCTGGTGATGGAAATGCTCAAAACTGTTGCCTTCTTGAGTTATGGCAAGCAGTAAAAGTAGCTATGTGGATTTTTTTTCTCTCTTTAGTGAAATTCACTCCTGTTTTTATAAAAGCCTCCCATACAATGAAGAAATAAGCATTTCTGTCTTCTGCTTTTTCACAGTTGCGGCCAAAGTAGAAGACTCTCGCCCAATGCAGAGACCTCCAAGGAGACCACGGAAGCCCAAGACATTAAATAATCCAGAAGACTCCACCTACTACACTCTAATACATGTGAGTTTAGCAAGCTTTTGTGGGCTAAAAATGCCAGATAATTCCCACGTAAACTTTCTAATTGCCCGATTCTCTATATTAATTTCTGATGCAGCATAAAAGCTGTGGTCTGCTGAAAGGAGGCAGGCCACAAACCTCGCATTTCAAACTAGACTTGAAATTGAGGTTCAGAGTTACCCTGATTGGGACCTAGGTCAGACCAATTCTTACTTTTGTACATAAACATACATACATTCATTATGTGCATAAGCAGCATTTGCACTTTCAATACCCAAATTAAGTGCCCGGTCTGCATAGTTTCTTTGTAAGTCGTGGGAGAGGAACAGGTTCGTTTGGAGAGCTATTTTGAGTGTTTAAATTAGTGCTTGATCTTGCGGAGAGAGCAAATATTAAAATAGGCTGTATTAGTATCCACACTGTAACTTCCTTCACAAATGTGTCAGATTGTGATTATGAAGGAATTGGCAAATACTGACAGCTCAGGAGACTAATGGATTTGAGTGTCTCTATATATAGCCTTAGGTCCAAGTTCAGCTACCAAGGGCTGCTTTCCACTCTTGACTTCAATGCCCTTAAATATAGAAAAAAGGGCAGGAAAGTAAACAGAAAGAGGGGAAATATAAAAGCAGATCAGAAAGCACTTCCAACAAAAAAAGCAATTAAACTCATTTGCTCGAGGTGCCTGTATCTTAGTGACCTATTTTAACAGCCGGTGAGAGCCCAGCTAATAAACTAACCGTGGCAATTGCTTCTCCTCTCAACAGAAGGTGTCACCAGGGCCTTTAGGGAAAGTTGTGTCTGGCATACCAAAAAAGACAAATAGGGCTATGTTTTATGGGGGGGGCTTTGAAATAACACAGCTTTCAAACAGTGATATTCTGAAAAGAAATTTTGTTCTTAAAAATAAATTGGCATGTAAGAATAAGGTTTGTTTTGTGAAAGCAAGATTGGTGAGATAAAGGACTGAAATGAAAGGCATGACACCAAATTCTGTCTTAGGGGATTTCTGAGGAGAAGAGTAGTAAATGCATATTTAGTAAGCTGAGACTATACAGCTGGGAACATAGTATTTTCTGAAAGCTAATTTGTTACCTGGCCAGCTCCATATCAGAAAATGGCCACCACAGCAGTGCAAACAAAAACTGCAGTAATGCCAGGGAATTTTAAAATTGATTTTTGGCAGCAGTTTTTCAAAGTATTAATCAATATTACCTTCAATTAGTTGTATTTTTCAAGAAGGTGTGAAGAAGAGAAACCTGTCTTCCTGACATTAAGTTCACTGGTAAGGGAAAGGTTCAGCATAAATATCTATACCCTGAAGCTTAGGAAGGAGACCTACTAGTTCTTAAATTCTTAGACCTTGGGTAAGTCACTGAGCTTTAACTTGATACTTGAGGGTAGTCAGCTTTCCCAGCTATCATGGATTTTCTACCTTACTAAAAATCTCTGTGACCTGCGGGTATTCACAGATGATTATCAAGCCCAGATCATCTGAAAGGGAAGGCACCTAATATGAGCGCCTTTTTTGAAACATTTTCTCTGTTTTCTGCAAAAACGGGTATTTCTCTCACGTTGTGTTACAGATATTAATTAGACACCTTCCATTCTCACTCATCTCCTTGCATACCAAATGAGCTAAAGGGGTACACAGATACAAATGAAGCCTGACAATAGGCCATTGCATACAGGGCATTAAAAGGTTTTTTTGGATTGTATTTCTTTAAATCAGCCTATCGTTTTGAAATTATATGTCTTGTCCATTTGCCTGCATACTAAATTCCATCAGGATTTCTGATTCTCAGTGACTTTACAATCAGTAATTCTAATAAGATTTCACTCGTTTGCAAGAAACACCATTGAGACCAAAATTAAAACTGTCTGCACTTAAAATTACTGCTTTGGAAGTGTGATGCGTTAGATGCTGCAGCATAGCATTGTTTTGGCTGTAGGGACAGAAATCTGTTAGAGATAAGAAATATTCACGTTTCCCATGAATCTCCTCTCCTCTATGTTTCTAGATCACCTAAATGTGATTTTGCCACCTAGTATACTGCTTTTTAAATGGGGCCTTTGTCCATTTTATTCTACTAAAACCTGCGACAAGACTGCATTGCCATTAATGAGAATAGGGTTATGCTGGATCCCACTGCGTTGCCTGTATTCATAGAAATTCTCATGGCATCACTGTAAATTTGCCTTAATGAGGTACTGTTGTCAACTTTATTAAAACGACTATACATATTTGAGTTTTAGATCTCCTTCTGTGCTCTGATCACAATTACTTAAGCTTTTTCTCACAGTACGGCAACTGAAATTTGGGAGTAACAATGCTAATCCCATTCTCAGTCTCAAAGATTCTGAAAAGAGATTTTTCTGGGCCACTTGCTCAGCAAATTAGATTCTCTGTATTTTCTTTTAACGAAAAATATACAATGCTCCTACCTAACATATTGATGAACTGTATCTTTGCATAAGCTTTCATTTTAGTATTTTTTAATTACTTTGTATTTTCTTAGAAATCAATACAAGATGAAAAAAGGAAACCAAGAAAAGAAAGGTAATAGTTTTCATTATCTCACTATTGTCAGTTTGGTACTGTAGAAGTAGATCTTAGCTGTACTTCAAACAGGAGAATAAAGCATTAAAAAAAGCATGGTAATTTGGTGATTCACAGGAAGGACATCATATACAAAGTTAAAATGACAAAAATCCATTCTAGAATTCAGTTGTTCAGTTTTACTACAGCATGGCCCTTTACCATGGCAACACAAGCATAATAATAAGTTAAGATAAGGTCCACATCAAGGATAGTTCTGACACAGAAAATAATTGAAGGCACTTAAAATTCCAGTCAAAGCAAATGAGCAACCGGGTTTTTTTGTCAGCGAAAATACAAAGACTGTTAAAATTCTGTCCTAAAAAATATGACTGTTTGTAAATAGATCATGAAAAATATAAAACCGTAATTATTAATAACAGGTGAGGAAGAACAGACCTTGAAATTTCAACCAGAAGTTTTTTCTTCACAGTGTAACTAACCTATTTTGATGGCTCTCTGCAGAAATAAAGCAAGCAATAGATATATTCTGCCCTTCTGTGTCTTAGATCCTTACGTGTGCTGTAGACCTGGTTCACAGCTCCTGATGTACATCATAGCTTTATTTTATTTGTGTTTCTATACTTAAGCTTTTTTGCTGCTCCCCGGTGACTTTGCTATGGTACCATAGCACACATGCTATGGCAGCCTAGTCAGAGATGCAAGATGAATGGGCTCTTAGCACTATCCTCAGCTGAGGTTGCAGAATACAAACTCCATATCTAAAATACGTGTCTTAAAGGAAGTTACATGACTTTACATGCACATCATATGTGCTCACAGCATCTAGCTTTATTCAACCACAGTTTAAATTGCACTTAATTATGCCGCTGCTTAAAGGATCTACTTAAGTGTCCATGTCCCCCATGTCTGGGCTGTTACAGATCATTTCCTGATGTCATTTGGATCCTGAAAAAATGTCACACCTGTTGTTGTCTCCTGTTTAGCAAAAAAATACCCCAAAACAACCCAGATCTAGTGTTTCCTCTCATTTGGCCTCACTTAGGTTTCACTCATCTTAAATCTAGTTAACCAGTTCCATTACTGCATCTTCTTTCATGTGCTGACTCTGTATTAGTAGAACATAGCAACTGAAATCAATGAGTTGTTTCTGATTGCTACCGATATGCGAATCTTTTTTCAGGTTGTTTTTAGGATATTATTTTTTCCCTAGCCATTCTAGCCTGGATGTTGGGATTGGTTTTTTCTGTACATATGATACCCTAGAGAGCATTCATCTAACAAAATAAGAGACATTGGCATTATGGACACTGATATCTGAACTAGTTGCTTTAGATTCTCTTCTTGTATTCAGAGAAAAAAATAGTCATTTTTAGGAAAATTATTCATCTCTTCCTCAAAGAGATATCTAAAATAGGTAAGATAGATTATACCATACTCTCCATTGAGTATAAGGGCAAACCCAAACAATTTTAGTCATATATCTCTGCTTCATGTACAGATGAAAGTATTTAGCATTTCAAAATTCTCAATGTCTGCATCATACAGCAGTCACATTTCAGAGACTGATTTCTTGTGCTTATATATATTTTTCCTTAGATCCTCAACACATAAACACAACTAACAATTATATTTGTTTGCCTTATTTTTGAATGTTGAATATAATATTGAAACGTGAAACTGTTAACTTAGTGTACTTATTTATTGACAGTCTGAGCAAAGTGCTAGATTTAGATATCTACTACCAAGAAATTTCATCTACTGATTCCACCTCAAAGGACAGCAGTTCTACCACAAGAAAGAAGAGACACCCAGCTGAGCGCAGGACTTCCATTTTAAGAGCTACTGAGCGGTAATTCATACAAAATAATAATAGGAAAAAATAAAAGTTGTATAACCTTGTTGAGATGTTCAAAAGATTCATAAAAAGAAAGATACACTTTCAAATTAGACATAAATTATTTTTTTATTCATGGAATCTTGCTGTATTGACTTGTAAGATGTACAGCTGAAAATTTCCCATCGTTACGCAGCAGGGACAAATGCTAGTATGATTGGCGTTCAGCTTGCCTGCTAGTTCTTGGCTTCCCAAGCACCAGATGAGATGGACAGACATCCTGCTGTAAATCTCTGATCTCAAATTAAATTAAACTAAAGCAGAACCTAAAATTCTCTTTCTGATCAGGTGGGTTTTAAATAGGGTGGATGTGTGCCGAACTTTCTGCCTGCTTTCTGCAGGTAAGAAACCCATTTGACTGCCTCCTTTCCCGGCTGTCCTGTAGCAGCAGATGTGTTTGTAGCTTGTGGTGGACCCCATCAAGGTGGACAGCCAGGAGAAAAACCCTAAAGGGAGGGTTTACTCGGCCTCCTGTCTTGCCATGCAGACTTCATAGAGGGTGGCCTCTGCTGGGCTGAGGAAATTCATACTCTCCTGACGGTGCACCCACACACAATGCACATGCAAACACATGTTTATGTATCTGGATATGTTTGTATCTTCTTGTGTCTTCATATAGGTAAGAAAAACTTGGGAAATATCTAGGTCAAAGGCTTAAGGGGAACACTAAGCCTGGGATGATGGCTGAGTTTGAAAATATATCCATAGTAATAGAGAAAATGTTTGGAGAATGTTTTGTGCCCCTTAATGTATTTTATTTTGGTATTTTTTCAAGTAGGATCTAAATTAATTTTAGGAAGATGTTGTGAAGGTATGGAATTAAAAATAATATTATCAAGGGATTACCGCGTAGTTTACATCTCTTGGAAAATGTTGCATTTCTAGGGTGGTTAATTATGCCAAATCTGTCACCCAGAGGTCTGGTTTAGATGAATGAGAATTTTGCCACTGAGCTTACTAAAAGGAATTTCTTACCTTTTATTACGTGCTGCTCTGATTGCATCCTCATTAGCTGTAGTGAAAAAAAAAAAAATCCGTGGAACATTTACATTTACACTGTTATCTCTGAGGGCAGATGAATGCAATTAATAAACATTTCTGCACTTCAGCATCTCTCAAATGGGGTCACCTGGATCTAAAGACTATGCAGTCATTTCAGTCTGCAGAAGTGAAGTATTGGGTATTATTTATTTGGCAGTTTACCTTCGACACTGGTGTAGGACCAGTGGTGGGGTACACCTTTAGTGTAGAACACAACAAATTTTTGTAATTATTTCAGGGTAATATACTTTTTTATATTTAATCTTGCTCCATAGTAACACCTGGTGCCCGGTCACCATTCTAGCCTGTCAGAGGTGGCTTCCAAAATGCATCTTGCTATCTGAAAAAACAAGAGATGGACACTTACAGTGAGCTCCACAGGCAGGTTAAAAACAGAGCAAACAAATTTCTGCCAACTGAAAATCTGGTTCAGTAACCATCAGGCAAACACTACTGCAAAGCACCCCCCACGTTGTCAATATTTTTGTGTCCTTTTATTATGTCCCCTTTGCAGAAGAACATGTTGTTCTTCTGCGCTTATCCACTTTTAGTATATGATGTGTTTGTTCCAAGGTGCCTGCTTTATGCAGCACAGGAAGAGGCCTAGCAGTCAGTTGATTTTTTTCTTGCTCCCTTTATTTTTTCCCCCAAGGGTGGATGTTAAGCGGTCGATTAGGAGTGTTTGCCAAGGTAAATGTTTTGACTTTAATTTCTAAAACACTTCTGCGCTTAATCCCTAGGTCGAGGGTTGCAGAAAGCCCCCTGGAAGAGAGTAAAACCGAAGATAATCCCTATGACTACAGACGACTGCTGCGGAAGACCTCTCAGCGCCGGCGCCTTATCCAGCAGTTCTAGCTGCTGCTGCTGTTCCTGCTGCCATTTGGCTTTTATTAGCATAATCTTTTTTATCATTTTATACCACGTGCTTCCTTTTTTTTAAAAAAAAAATCTCCAATGTTTCAAGTTTACAACGTGTGTGTTCATGTGAATATGAATTACTGTGGTTTACAGCCCCACACCGTTGCAAAGGGACACTGTCAGTCGCATGTTATATGCTTTAAAAAACCCTAATATAAAAATCAGCTTCCTTTTGGATACCACTGCTACATCTTAAAATTATTAGACATTAAGCAGCTTAAATCTAGTTTACTTTCCTAAATGCATATTTCTTTCTTTTTTTGTGTTTCATCAGTCCCATCCAATTAAAATAGATCATTTAGTTTATAGGTCCCTAGTTAAGCTCTCAAATTCCCATATGCACCTTCAGAAAACCCTAGTTATTTTTCTAATAAATTGTTTTACAGGAAAAAAAAATTACAAGAGCACCGTAGGGGGATTTCTGCTTGATTTAGGTTTACGATGCCTAAATTTTGGGAGGAACTGTTTGTTGCAAGTGTCCCTCTAATGAAAACAAACATAAATGATTAATTGCATAGCATACTATGGCTGTTTATTTCATTATTGACTTTACTGTAAAGCCAGTAGCCAGTTTTAAAGGTCAATATTGTGTGTATAATCTTTATGTTGGAGATGTCCATTTATGGAAAGGATATCCAGCCCTCTCCTCTGCCTCTGAGCATTGTGACTAAGTGATGAACTTTTAAATCGTGTTTGCTTTGTTCTCCTTTGCATTAGATTTTTAGGAATCTTAATCTCTGGGGTGCCAAGAAAGGAATAGAAATAAACTCTCTGGTTGATTGCTGCCTGAGCGTAACGATCATTCTTAATCAGTTCCGCTGGAAATTAAGTGGAAATAAAAGCAATAGCCGCCATGTTCAGATTTTCCCCCAATTCCTTATTCAAAAGACCTTATTTCACAGAAACCGCACAGATAATTGCTGCACTTACTTTCAGGATTAATAATTGCATGTTCCCAGCTGCAAAGCAAGAGAAGGCAAATTTCATGATGCTAGTATAAAGGCCTGATCCTGCTCCCTTGCCTAGCTCTCCTAAATACTACAATTGGTGGCAGCAGTGAGCCACAGGGGTTGGGTTTTTGTTTGTTTTCCCACACACACTTGGCCCTTTCCCCAGAGACAGGCAACCATTGCTTCCGGATCCATAACTAGTTATAAGGCTGTGCACCGAACTAAAATGTGCTGCAATGTAAAATTTGTGATATATTGTTTAAATTTTGAAATTTGTTTTAAAGTTGCTTTCTCATGTATTATTAAAATGGTAAACCAAATAAAAATGCACAAGGCAGCGATACGGTTGGCTGTGTCTGAATTGCACCCAGAGCTGGCGAACCACCCTGGACTGCTGCGTGAGCGAGCAAGGCAGGCAAAGAGCTCACAGCAGCCTCTCGCCGTGGAACGCCGGAGTTACCGTCTACATTTCCTTAAAGCCAATGTGATGTGGAAACTGGAACAGACCTGTTATGTCACACGAAGATGTGCCTGGGTTGGTTTTCTTTTACTTTCCCACCAGGGCAGTGTTAGAACGCCAGGACATCTCCGTGAGATGTCACGGGAGGACAGTCCTCGTAGCCATGCGGGTGCATGCAGAAAGCGGAGGGAGATGCCCTCGGCCGGACACTGCTGCACCCGCCAGGGCCCGGCTGCGAGGAGCAGTGGGGACCTGCGTGACCAGTGCTCTCGGCAGGGCCGAACCCTGGCCGGGCACGGTCTCGCCTGCCCCGCTCCTGGGGTTAGGGCTTGAAATCGCTCCCGTGCGGGCGGAGAGGCAGCCAAGGCTCCCTGCTCCCGTGGAGAACGGGCCGGCTGGAAGGGGCAGGTTTAGTGGTCTTCAGAAACGACGTCGGGGAGGGAAAGGGAGCGGTTGGTTTCCCCCTCTTCCTCCGGCGACGCTGGGGCGTGGAGGACGGCTCCGCGGGGCTTCCCATCCCCGGGGGAAGAGGGTTGC